TTTGTAGTAGTAGTAGTAGTAGTAATAGTAGTAGAATAGTAGTAGTAGTAGTCGTAGTAGTAGTAGTAGTAGTAGTCGTAGTAGTAGAAGTAGAAGTAGAAGTAGTAGTAGTAGAAGTAGAAGTAGTAGAGGTAGTAGCATAGTGTCGTGCCGAGATAGGAGTCCAAGGCCAGTGTGATTGATTGACAAAATATAATAGAGAAGGAGTACGATAAAAAGACAGTCAGTGCAACATCGTTCGGGCTTGTTCAAAATCAGGGGGCATTCTGGGGGCAGGGCTGGGGGCTAGGGGTCGTTCCTAAACAAGTGACAGAGGGGGAAGGGGGGAAAGGGACCAAAGCTACGTCTAACGAAGAGATCTCGCAAAATCATAATCATAAAAACCGAATGAACGAATCTTTTTATCTGAATATCTCGTTTTTTCCCACGATTTACGCACCTAATAATTGAAACCCTAATTGGACGAGGATCTCTATGGTTAAGGTTTTTATCATGGACTCGTTTGGATCGATGGTTCCCGATCTTGAAAAAAATAAAATTCTTCAAAATTTACGAAATTTGTACTAAAGATTGCTCCTCTTTAGGGAATTTAATGAAAAATCTTGCAAAAAAAAAAACTCGACTGAACGAATATTTTCAACGATTAAAACATTTCTATTGAAACGAAATTAATATTTGAAGATTTATCTCAATATCATATTTCTCATTTCAAATACTATTATCCAAGATTAATTAATTCAACAAACCCAAGCTTGCGGTCGAATAACTCAACGGATTAAACATCTGCCAATCCTCGATATATCATCATATTTCGGTGTCATATTTCGATATATATATATACATACATAACCTGCCAAATTTACAGACAAGTTCATCCATACTGTTCAGGCATCCCATTTATCTCCTAACTCTGGAAAGCTCGTATCAAATCATGTCCAATCTTTGACGAATTATCGTCAAACGTGATATCTCTGATATTCGAGACTCCTGGCAAAAGTACCGAACAACTATACAATGGCGGATTGCGAGCAATCTGAATCGTAGATTGATCGGGAAACAGTTATCCTCCAGAGTCCGAGGGGTGCCGTTTTACAATTGGTGCACGTGTACCGGGTGAAGAGATATTGGATCGTAACGCGTACGAAACAGAGGAATGAAAATGAAAGAAGAAAAAAAAAGAAGAAGAGAAAAAGAGAGAGAGAGAGAGAGAGAATGCATAATGGAAGCGAGAGAAAGTGGGACAATAGGCGTGACGCGAGAAGAGGAAGTAATAATCGAAGTAATAATCGACCCCGGACTTGAGAATGGTACGCGCAAGACGAGCGTCGTGCTTTTAGAAATGAAAGAAAAGAAATAAAAGAAGAATGAGAGTGGAGAAGAGATGCCGGTGGAGATTGAAGTGAGAAACACATTTGCGAGATTTGCGAACGATCAGGTGCCGATTTCGAATGCAAAAAATCGGCGCCTGGATAGTCGTCGCATGCGTGATACACGGCATTCAAGATGGCGCCATTTCTTGTTTTTGACTTTAAGACATTTATCATTAAGGATAAACTACGTTTGTTTCAATTCTTCGGGATTCGAAGAACAGAGATTTATCACGATTCTTTTACGATCGAATAATAATAGGAATTCAGATAAGATTTGAATTATAGGAAATAAAGTGTTTTTGTAAAATATATTTTTCCAAATGGAGTTCATTTGAATAGATACAGATCTAATGGTTGAGTTGAAGTTAGATTATAGTTTCAGATCGTAATATAAGAAAGGATCGTTTTCTGAGAAGAGAGAAGCACCATCTTGAATGGACGCAAGGTGATAGAAATATATAGTTTCTAAAAATATGATGTCTATGATAACGTAACGATGCAGAAGAATGATAATTCTACCGGTGACAGACAAGAATTCAGGCCGTGTGCCATTTTGAATTAATTTAAATAACATATGAATACATTTTGTATATATATATATATTTAATCCATGGAGGATCGGAAACAAAGAATAGATATAAATATATATAAAGACAAGAAGAGATCTAGAAAAAAAATATAGAAAAAAATCTATCGTATTTAATGCGAGGAGATGTACGAATCACGAAACGTGGACAAAAATAGAGAAGATAGAACGGAAGAGATAGAGAAATGTAAGAGAGAAAATGAAGAATCGTTACAGAGATCGTGTGATTCGATCGAAGGAAAAGAAAAAAAATTGCGAAAAAGAAAAAGGAAAAAGAAGAGAACTCAAGGAGAAATCGTAGAAGTATAAAGAATACGTCTCCCTTCGACAAATATATATAATTCCATGTATACTTTTCTAAAAAAAGAAAAAAATCCTATTAACGAATCTTTTCTTTGTTTCTTTCCTTTTCTTTCTAAATTTTCTTTCTTTTTTTTTTCTTTTTTCATCTTTATATTGAATTATTTATTCCCCGTTTCTTCGAGAAAAAAAAAAAAAAGGAATGAAAAAGAGGAATCGAAAGAACACACGAAAAGAATATATATATATATACATACACACACGAATGTGATGTATGTATGCGTATAAGATACAAGAGAGAGAGAGAGAGAGAGAAAGAGAGAGAGAAAAGGGAATAAAAAAAAAGATGAAAAAAGAAAGATGGCGATAGAGAAAAGAAAAAGAAACGCCGAAATGGTACAATAGAAAAACAAATACAGAGGGAAGAAGGAAAAAAAAAAATACTTCAACACACCGACACTATCTAATGGAAAAATTAAGTAAATATATAGCTAGAAAAGAAAAGAAAAAAAAAATAAAATCAATGATCAATAATAAATAATGAAGCTCTTAATAATGTGACGATTAGAAGAGTCGAGTGGCGCTTCTTACCATCTGTCCGTGCAGCGGGTGAAAATGGAAACAGAAAGAGAATTCAAAATCTTCCTCTGAAAGTCGAGACCGCGGGAATATGGAAAACGGATTTCTTTTCTTTTCTTTCGATATTCGATCTCGTCGAATTGTATTGTATAATTAATAAAAAAAAAAAAAAATTATTTCTTTCTTGCACGACATTATTATCTTAATTACATTCGACAGGGGGAGGGAGAGGGGCAGAAGAGAGGGTGTAAAGAGGGGTGGGTGGACAATATGTGTACAAAAAACTATCGAAATTCTCGCCCTGACGATTAGATCTCGTCGTGGTGATGCACGCGCGCGATTTTCCCTTTATCGTTTTCATTAATCGTCGTTCCTTTGAAAATACTACTTTTTTCACGTTCTATTTGAATGAACTTTTATTCTGTTATTTTTTTTTTTTTTTTATATATATATTTTTTTGCTTCTTCTGAATCACGAGAAAGGTGAAATTTTGAGAGAAAAAAATACAGTGTGCGGCCGTAATAGCGGGTGGTTAACGGGTAGAACGAAAGGGTGTGATTCGAATAAAATCGAGAAGAAATATATATATATATATAACTCGGAAATAGTCGCGTGGGTGCAGTTTTTTTTTTCTTTTTTTTTCTTTTTTTGCGGTTGGTGGATCGAGGCGTGGCGGCAAAGCTGATTAAAAAACGTTCACGTTTTGAAAGATCTCAAAGTAATTCGGGAATATATATACATATTGAAAGCCTTTATCGAAAAGAGAAGTGAAAGCTTTCGAAGTGAATTATGAAAAAAATTATCATATCGAGTTGTCTTGATCGAAATAACGCGAAAATTCGAGAGATATTTTTATTATTAAGTTCGATTGGATTCTTTGAAATTTTTCGTGTTCAATTCTTTTCTTCTAAGACAACTCAATTTGGCCGGAAAGGAAATAATTCGATAACAAGTGTTTTTAAATTTTAAAAGAGTTTCGTTCCTCACATCGATTCGAACGAGGAATATTTCGAACAACGACGATTCTGTTCTTTTTCTCTCTTTTTTTTTTTTTTTTTTTTTTTTT